AATGAGAATAAAGATGGTGGTGGCGGTGGTGATGATGATGATGTGGGGGAGGAGGAGAAGAAGGAAGGGAGGGGAGAAGATGATGACAATGGAGATGAATCCAGCACTTTTCCCATAAGTCTGGTATCCTACACTGGCTTTCCACAGCCCCTCACTATGGTTCACACACCTGCATTTGGAAGTCATAACATATTTGTGCATAGTTACACACAGGCCCATGCAAGATTTCCACATAAAGTTAAATTATATTTTTGGCTTTAATATGTTCCAATTACTGTACCTGCATGATGTAAATCGTGCCTCATCCATGCACTGTATTGAACCCATGTGATTTATCATCTACTTCATGCCCCAACTGGTTCTGCCCAGTCTAACATTCAGACACAAGAGGGAAAAGGGAAGGCAGCAAGTCCTGTTGACTCAACTTCCATAATACCACTCAGATCCTGTCTCAACACTGCAATGGCTCTGGCTCAGGCATCATCATCTCCCTCTAAAATAACACTCATCTAGTCTCTGTCCTATCCTATCCTATCATATCCTATCTATCCCATCCTATCCTATCCCATCCTATCCTATCCCATCCTAATCCTATCCTATCCTATCCTATCCTATCCTATCCTATCCTATCCTATCCAGTCACCATGCCACTGACTCTCTCCCTTTACTCTCCTACCTGCAGCCAGAGGAGTCTCCTCAAAGTGCTATTCTGCCCATGTAACGTTCTTGTGTTCAATTCAATGCTTTCCAATGGCCAGTGTGGTACGGCTCTGCCAACCTTGTGAAACACAGCCTCCAGCTCTCAGCCCACACCAGTTGCTCACCATCCCTCAAACTGACATGTTGGCCTCTCTACTCATGATGCCCTTCCCATACTGTTCTTCTCACTAAACTCTTATCCATCCTTTGACTGTGAAGGCTTCCCTGATGCCTGCCTTCCAATGGCAGAGGTAATCACACCCATCCTTTCTCGTATACGTAAGACATTGTAATAACTATTTGTTGAGAGCTTTTGTTTTCAAGCACCAATGACTTTATATATACATTATCTAATTTAATCTTTCCAACAGTCCTTTGAGATAGTGTTTATCCCCTTCATAGGTGAATCAAGTGAGGTTTTGAGAGGTTAAGTTAACCTCTAACCTGAGCCTCCTATTAGCAAGTCTCAGGGTCTAGCCCCTCCTCACTGTAAACTGCACAGCTAATATTTAAACCCAGATTGGCATGACTCCAAAGTGTCTGATTTTATCACACCGCATTTAGTTAGCTACGTTCTGGGAGTTCCTTAAGGGTAGGGTCTCAGTCCTGATCATCTCAGTGTCCCAAACCTAGAAATTAGCACTCAGGTATAGGTTGGAAGTGAGCGGGACTAAGCTTTTGACTTAGGATGAAGAAGGGGCATTACCCACATTTGCCCATGGAGGTAGTAAGCACAGTGCCCACCAGTTTGAAATACTTGGTCCGCCCAAGTTTAGATCTCAGTATTTCAACATCATCACCTACTAGCTTTAGGATTTGGAACAGGTTATTCAACCTGCCTAAACCTCAGTTTCTTTCATTGGAAGACTGTAAATAGCACATGACTGTTTTGTACATGGTTAAATGAGATACACAGGTAGAGTCACTGATATGATAAGGACACCATAAATGGTAGTTAGCAGCATTTGTCTATGCAGTCCACTCTTTGTCATAAAGCCTACCCAAAGAAAACACTTTCTGACCATACAGAAGATGGGAGTCATCAAGGGGCGATTTCCTGTGCACCCCCAACACACACCTCTGTGTTTTCACAACTTCTTTGTTCAGTGGTGGAAACCACACGAAAAACCCAATTTTTGCCAACACAGGGGACATGAGCCCCCCTGGCCTTTTCCGCAGCACCACATGAATCAATGCGGCCGTGCAGTGGCCAGGGTGGGTGCTGGACCCAGCAGCCTCCTTTGCATTTTTCTTTTTCCAATGAAACATTTTGTTATTATTTTTTTTAATCCTCACCCAAGGATATGTTATTACTGATCTGAGAGAGAGAGAGAAAGGAAGGGAGAAGAGAAAGAAATATTGTTGTGAGAGAGAAACATCAATCGATTACCTCCTGTACCCACACTGACCAGGGATCAAACCTGCAACCTGGGCATGTGCCCTGGCTGGGAATTGAACTTGCGACCTTTCCATGTATGGGACAATGCTCCAACAACTGAGCCACACCGGCCAGGGCTCTAATAAAACATCTTAACAAATATGGGTCTAACCTCCTTTCCTGTCATGGCAGGGCAAACATGCACGTACACACACACACACACACACACACACACCTGTCCAGTCAGAATTCTGTCAGAATTCTGAAATCTCCCTCTGGAGAGCCTTGTGGTGGCTGGGAAGGGCTAGAGACAATAGGCTCCACGGTATCAGGACATGGAGACTGAAACCAGAGAGAGACGTGGACGGAAGAGCAAGTTGGGGACAGCCTGATTGCATGTCTTCTTAAGAGCCAGCTAACTTTGGCCAACTGAGCAGCGACCCAGAGGCCACAGCTGTCTGTGAGAGGCTCAAAGAAACCACATACTTCTCCTTGGGGTTCTTGCTATTGCTTAAGTTCCACCATCATTGCAACTTCTCTTTGAGTTAAATTTTTGGTACTATTTACAACTCATACATCCACTGGCTATTGGTTATTAATTTTACCTCTTGATCAGACTTCTATAGACCTTTCCCAGCCAACGTTTCCTAGTTATCTCCCCCAAGTTCACAGCATTATGTATAGTGTCTCTATAAGGAGAAAGAAAACGTGACTGTATATTGTGCTGGATGCATTAGCATTACCCTTTCACTCAGGCCTCACAACAACCCCACCAGGTGGGACTATCATTGAACCCATTGTGTTGATGATGGAACTGAGGTTCAGAGGTCAAATTACTCACCCAGAGTAATAGCTGGTGAATGGCAGCAGTCACATTCAGACTTAACCAGGCTCAGACCACAGTCCCAGCACATTGGGAAGTTTAACTTTCTGCCACTGATGAGCTAAGTTTTTCTTCAGGTTGGGTCAAGACAATGGAAAGCTACAGCAATGAGGAGACTCAGCAAAGGCGTGAGACCTATGGTTCAAAAAAGGGTATATATGAGAGGAATTTAGAACAGGGCTTGGCATGTGATAAACCTACAGACTGAATGTCTGTGCCCCTCCCCCGAATGTATATTTTGAAACATAATCCCCAATGTGATGGTATTTGGAGGTGGGGCCTTTAGGAGGTGATTAGGTCATGAGGGTGGAGCCCTTATGAATGAGATTAGTGCCCTTCCAGAGGAAACCTCAGAGAGCTCCCTTTCCCTTTCACCACGTGAGGATACAGGGAGAAGATTGCCACCTATGAACTAAGAAGAGGGCTCTCACCAGACACCAAATCTGTTGACGCCTTGATCTTGGGCTTCCCAACCTCCAGAACTGTGAGAAACAAAATTGTGTTGTTTATAAGTCACCCAGTCTATGGTATTCTTTTATACCATAACTGACTAAAACGTGCAATTGACAAAGTACACTGGCAAGTACTTAATGAATGGTAAGTATTACTCTTTTTTGGTATAAGATGTGGGTTCTTCTCTGAACATACTGTTCCTGGGAGAAGAGTCATCCAAACTGCAAGGAGAATTTATTCAGCTGAACTCCACCTCTATACTTCCAGAAACAAACCCGATAGTCATACCTTTTGAAAGGACACCTTTGAGCTTAGATTGTTGGAAGTTGAGCAGATCTCTAGGCACCTGAGTCATTTGGAAGAATATCCTTCTGCTTTGTTTCCCATGTGGATTAGAATCCAGGGGTGGGGGTTCAGGAAGGGGGCTGTTGATCTCATCGGCACTCATCAATATTGAGAAGTAGGCATATTTCTAACTGCTTAGATTTTACTGATATTCAGTATCTTTTTCTCTCTCAATCCCCACAGTGCCTGACTCTCACAGGGGTGGGGAACATCGGCCTACCGGTTGTGAAAGGCCTGCAAATCATTTGGTCTGGCTCTGCAGGGCACTAGGGGTTAGATAATTAAATGTTTGACCAAATACAGCAGGTTAATTTTTAAGTTGATAATTTTGTAAGGCCCGAGGATGATGTGATAAATATCCAAATGGCCCTTGGCAGAAAAAAGGTTCCCCACCCCTGCCAGGTGTCATCCTTGCTTTATGAAATGCCTGACCTACATCACACTTCCTCTAGTCAGCCAGCTCCTCTGAGCTACTGTCCAGGTGGTAGGAATCCATAATGCCTCTCCGTACTCGTTACCCTCCCAGGTAACACACTGGAAGCAGTTCCAGTGACATTTAAAAGATTTCAGAGGTGAACTGTCTCCCTCACAACCACAGGATCCAAACCACCATCTCCTGTTGCCTGAAAATGACAGCAGTCACGCTCTTTGGGGCTGTCACCAGTCCCACCTCCACCCTGCAGCTGGTATGGTTTTTTCAATAAAGAGCAATTTGGCTATTTCACTCTTGGGCTGTCAGCTTCTTCAAATACTGTCAAACCTTTTACTCAAGACTTCTCCATCCCTGCCTAGCCCCCAGCCTTTCCGCTTGCTACCTCCTACTGCAATCTCTATGCTCAATGACAGTGCTCGCAGCCCTCGAATGAGTTCTGTTTTCTCAATCGCTTTTGCTCATGGTGTCCCATCTGACTGGAGTAAATCCCACTCTTTTTCACTCTGTCTGGCTTACTCCTCCCCCTCCTTTGATCAGAGGTCTCACTTTTTCAAAAAACCATTTTGTCTTTTTGTCTGATGACCCAATAATGCATTCAGAGAATCTCTACCCTTCACCCATCGCAGCCCAAAATCACTAGATTGCTTCTCTATTTCCATTGAACAATAAGTTCCCTGAGAGCAGGGAGCTCCTCTGTCTTCCATTCCATGCCCATGCGTGGCAGATAATAGATAATCAATACATATTTGTTGAGTGAATAAACAGAGGTCCCCCGTTGGTAAGAAACACCACCCAAGCAGAGAGAGAGAGAGAGACAATAGGAATTTTTAATGCATGGAAAGTCCTGCAGGGACACCGGGCAGACCCACAGGTAGCAGGAAGAGGCCGAGGTCCTGCAAACTCAATGCCAGCTGGGAATAAAGTCCTAAAGACCCACGCTTCCTCACTGCCGAGATCCTCGGGGCTTCCTTCCTGATGCTGAGGAGGGCGGATCGTCTCTCCATCCATCTCCTCCTGGGGTCCAGGGCTGGGAGGAAGCTGAGTGTGGCCGCAGGAAGGAAGAAGGGGAAAGGCCGCTTGGTCTCCACCTGAAAGCTCCTGCCTCGGCATTGACCGCCATCCAGAAGAAAACGTTGAAAAAGGAGAGACTTGGATAGAGTCAAATAATATCTTAGAAAAAATAAAAGGTAGAGAAAAATGGATAATTCCAGTGTTTACAAAGTCCTCTGTTGGCTATCCACAAGAGAGAGAGTTTGCTTTGGCCTCACTGCCAAGCCTAATTGGCCAAGCCCATCCTCAGCTGTCTCCCAGCCCACCTCGCCCCGGAATCCACGGGGGTGCAGCTCCCCCTCCCACGGAGAGTCTCTGTGCTCACGGAGGGTGGCGGCCCCCCTCACCGGCCCTTGGAGTCCCCATACGTGTTCCGGGCCATGGACACCATCTTCTCCTCGCACGTGATTTTGGTGTCCTTGAGGATGCTGTACCACACCATGCCCTCGGGCCGGACCTCCTCGCTGCGGCAGAACAGGTAGGGCACGGTGTCCACGCGGCTCTGGATGTGGGCGCTGCGCAGGAGGCTGGAGCAGTGGCTGCTCACCCTCTCCAGCCGCCTCAGGATCAGGTGGGCCTTCCTGAAAGGCAGGAGGAGACAGTGAGGATGGAAGAAGCCCCAGTCAAGGGTCAGGTCTTTGAGGGGTGAATAAGGATCAACAGACAAAGGAGGACTTGTCGTCCCAGCAACTTCCTATACATCCTGACGTGAGTGTGGTATTTCAAACGCCCATTCCAATATCACCCTCTACCTCTCCTCTCCAACTGTTCAATGTCGAAAAAATGAAAAGGAGGGATAACCCTTTGCTAAGATAGGAGAGTCCCAGGCGTCAGCTTTGGGACTCCAACACAGTAGAAATTGTTATAATAATGATAAACAACAACAATAATAACTAAAATGTATTGATACCATGTGTAAGAAATTGGTCCTTTACATACATTTAAAAATGTTTATTTATCTTTACAATAGCCCTGAAGGCAAAGGCTCAGAGAAATGATATTACTTGACCAAGGTCAAACATCAAATTGATCTTGGAGTTGAGCGTTTGAATGTAGACCATGACAACCCACAAGTCCCTCCCTATCTGCTTTCATGCTTCTCTAATTCCCCCCTGCTCTTCTCACAGTCAGGAAATTTGGGATCATATGTCAAAGCCTAGTATATATGTCCCCAAATCACAGGGTCTCTGCGTGTCATTGCTCTCACCTCTAGAACAGTGATGGTGGTCTTACCGTCCTCAGCGGGCTGTGAGATTATCTGAGAAATGCCCAAAGCCTGGCTGGCACAGAGTAAGTGCCTAATAAATGACAGCTACTCTTATAGAGAATTACTACTTACTACGGTGATGTCTCAGGATTAAGGTCATACTGAACAGTAGTCTGAGCAAGAATCACTCTGTACTTGGTGGTCATCATTAGTAATTTACCCAGGGCCCTTTATCCAGCACCAGAGCGAGGAGCTCTGGGGAGATATGAGGGCTGCATAGAAAATTAAAGGATCTTTGAGATGACCTAGTCTGGGGTTTCTCAAAGGCAGGAATAGTACATTGGGGCTGGTCATTCGTTACTGGGGGTACTGTCCTGTAGAAAGTTCAGCAGCATCCCTGGACCTCTGCCCACCAGATGCCAAGAGCAATCCCTGTTGGGAACCAATGACCCAGTCTGACCTCTCATTATAGAGGTGGAAACAGGCTTAGAGAGGGAAAGGAATGTCCCTTTCCCCGGTCAGACCACAAATCCATGTCACTGTCCAAGTGCCTGTCTCCTGTGGAACCCACGTTTCTTTACATCCTATTACCTTCCAGATCCCCAGGAATCCTGAGGGGCTAAATAACAGGCTCTCTCCTGCTGTCCTCATGGCCCTCCGAGACCCCAGGAGGCAGGCGGTTTTATGACCACAGACCCCACAAATGGGAGACTGTGTTAGGCACCTGTGTGGCGGCTGGAAAAGGGCCGGGATTATGTGTGTGCGTTTTGTGGGCACAATTTATGAGGTGCCTTTCAAAAAGTCCTTTTTGTATAGCTCACCACTTGGGTGGAATACTTCCTGAGGTGCCAAGAATTCATAGCTTCATAATCGCACTCGAGTGGCCGCACTACCCTAGTCCTCGCTCCCTCCGGCAGGCACCTCCCCGAGAGCAGCCTGGGGAGGTTATTCCTACCCCTCCTCCTTGGCGTGCTTAATCTGTTCCTTAATAGCTCCATGCCCTTGGGAGACTTACTTAACGTCTCTAAGCCTGCTTCTTCGCTTGAAAAATGGGGCTGTTGTGATGTCAATGGGGATAAAGTCACCAGTTGCTCATTTATTGAGCATTTAGTATGTGGCTGAGCTCCCCATCCAGTGGGAAAGACAGACAGATTGACAGTTACAGCACAGGTGGCAAGGGCAATGATGTAAGCAGGCATAGGGCCCATGGGAAAACAGAGGAAGGTGCCTGGGCAGGATTGGGGACATGCAAGAAGAGGTCTTAGTTGGAGGGGAACTTGTGTTGAGCCTCATAAATGAGGAGGGGTCAGGCCATGAAAAGGGCAAGGACATAACAGGAGGCAGAGGCAAAGGCAAAGAGATAAGGGATTACATAGAAGTTCTGATGGCTAGAATCCAGTGTGTGAGTGAGGACACAGTGGGAAACTGGGGAAGCGGCAGGGGCCAGTGGAGACTGGCTGCTCGAGGAGGATCAAACTGGGGGAGGGCAAGACCGGCAGCAGGCAATGAGGGAGACAACACACAGGTGCCACTGTTCTTAGGCTCGGGTTTGCTTTTGCTCCCTGTGCTTTTAAGAAGCGACTTCCTCTTTCTGTTTCCTGATTTATAAAAAGAAAATAACATCTGTCTACCTCATCGAGTTATGGCAATGATTAAATAATACATGCCAATTGTTAGTTAATCCATGTAAAACTTCCAGGCAAGTGTTTGGCACACAGTAAGCCCCTCATGTGTGTTAGAAAGTATCACCATCATCGTCACCACCTCCGCCGCCACCATCATTATTATCTCTGTACTGGTTTAAGCCTTGAGCATCTTTATAAGTCGGTGGCAGGAGACAGACAGACAGAAATGGTAACAGCCTCTAATACAGGGGGAGTGCTGGGTTGAAGAGCTTGCCTGGTGCTATGGGATATGTCAAGGGGACACCCAATCATTGGTTTGGGGGCTCCGAAGAGTCTTCCTAGAAGATGGAAGATCTAAGCGAGGTCGTCAGTGATCAAAGAATGTTTCAGGTACATAGAGAGACAGAGGGATACCCTCCAAAGTTAGACCAAGACAGCATAAAACCACCAACTGCTTGAAATGGTCGGTGCAAATGGACAGAAGGTCTGTCAGTTCGGCAGAGAGCGGCCCATCTTCTAAGCCATGGCCACGTGTTTTATTTGTGGGGCAGTGGAGAGTCGCAGTCTGACCAGTCACAAAAATAAGCCACATACAAAATTAGGCTGGAAAGGGCAATTCCTCCAACATACCCACATGCTTTGTCTTCATAGGCTCAGCCCTTCTCTCCAACAGAATCCTGGAACTCACTGGACCAAGCCTCCTTTTGAATGGGTGGGGAAACGAGGGTTTGGAGAGAGAAAATAATTTGCCTCAAGGAATGGCTTAAGTTGGTTATAAAGGATATGCTAGAAGCAAGGCTCCTGGCCCTATAGAGCTGAGATGAAATATTTGGCTCTGAAGACCCAGATTCAAATCTTAGCTCTACAGCTTGGCCATGTGGATCATGAGCAAGCTCTTCAGTGCCATGAGCTCTTACCCCATCTGTAAAATGGGAATAATAATGGTGTTTGGGGGAGGATAAGATAACCTGGGCAATTTGCTTAGTTCTCACTAAATGTTAGCCAAGATTCAGAGTAGCATCTTATCATAGAAAGCACGTAGGTGTCAGAGTGCATTGGGGCAAGTCACGTCTCTTCTATGAGTCAGTTTCCTCATCTGTAAAATGGAATAGAGATGCTTATCTTGCAGGGATGTTGTTAGACTTCAATGAAATGACTGCCATACGCACCCAGGATGGGAATCTATACATTATAGGCACTCCACCAAGGCCATTTTGCTTAACTGTCCCTGCTCTTTCTCCACCATACACAATGCCTCAGCATTTAGACCAGGGGCTGGGATCAGATGCCACAAGGATAGAAAAATTCGGAGGGTGAAGCTATGGAGAGAAAGGTTGGAGGTGCTCAAAGGCTGGAGAGGAGGAGGGGGAGTGAGAGAACAAAGGTGAGAGTTCTGGGCAATAACTTCTAGTAATAGAGAGCCATAAATCAAAGGCCAGGCATGCTCCAAGCTTTCCCTGGAGAGAGAGAGAGAGAGAGAGAGAGAGAGAGAGAGAGAGAGAGAGAGAGAGAGAGAGAGAGATATCACAGGCAGAGTGACCACTTTTCTCAAATACCGAAGATGAAATCTTCCTCATTGCAGACAGGACTCAGCCCGCTAGGATAGGAAGCAAGAGGTGAAGGAAGGCCACCACATAATAATTTACTGGTTCTATCAGCAGGCAAGATTGACACAGGGCTGGCTTGTGAAAGAGTCAAGGGCTGGGATCAGATGCCACTACTCCAGGAATTGTAGAACCTTTGAACAACTATTCTATTCCCAGCCCTCTTACCCAATCAGCTGTTTGACACAGTTATCAGACAGAGACCTAATTTCTAAGGGGGCCTTGGAATGGAGAGGAAGAGAAGAGGCAATAAGGAAACATTCTTGTTGGCCTCCTTCCCTTTTCCCACCTCCTTGAGTTGAGCTCCAATGTGTCTGTGTCAGCTGACCTCAAGCTTAATGAGAGTCGAGGGCATGACGTGGCTGCAAAAACTTGGAACGCAATCTCAGAAGTGGAGGGGGCAGCTGAAGGGAAGTACTGATGTCATTCATGCTGGTCAGGACACAGCTGGAGATCCCCGGTCACTTCTGGTAAGAGGGACATATGCAAATTGCAGCCAGGTCATGATGATGATGAAGGTTGTCTCAAGAGCACATCTTCTGAGAAAGTACTGAAAGCAGGAGTGGAGGTGTCCACTGAAGGGGGAATTTATGCAAATGGTATGTTGTTCTAGTAACTGAAGACAATTGGTGGGAAAAACTAGAGCTGGGATGATAATGACTATAATTGATTGAGTACTTACTATGTGCCATCATTCTCACCACAGTTCTAAAGTGTGTGCTTTATTCCCAGGCGTCAGGTGGTGTAAGTGAGCCTCAGGCTGGTTACAGGAGTTGACCAGGGTTAACAGGGTGAGAGAGAGAACAGAGTCTCAGATCTCTGCTGCAAGGCACCCGAGTTTTACGCATGAAGCCACTTGAAAATCGACAGAAGGCAAATTTTGACTCAATATAATAAAAACTTAAAACTGGAGTCCTCTAAATATATAATGAGTATTTCCATATTTCCAGTGGGTTCCCCTTCACTGGAATTGATCAAATAGGTTCTCAAAAGGAGGCTGTCTTAGTCTATTCAGGCTGCTGCAACAAAATACCACAGATGGGGAAGCTTATAAACAACAGGAACTTTTCCCTTACAGTTTTGGAGGCTGGAAGTCCAAGAGATCGTGGTGCGGTCTGGTGGCTGGCGAGGGCCTGCTTCCTGGT